ATTTTACTTAATCGCACACAATTCTTGGATCCCTTGAACATGAACATACTTGAGCTAAGACGCTAAAGTTACAATCCTAGGTTGTGCGGCTGCTGTATACAAATACTGGACTTGCGCTGCTGGCACTAGGTTCCAATGGTGTTCATAAGCTTTGGAAGTGGCAGCGAAATGAGCGTAACCCGTCCGGAAAGGTTTGATTTCTATTTCTCTTTTCCTGCTCACCCCTGTTTCTTATTCATTATGATTGTTTGGCTTAATATTTTTTTCTTTTCTTTTAGTCTTCTGCTTTGGCTGTACCACAATTATGGCAGCCAAGCAGTGGAGCGCTCATGTCAAATGATTTAAGTGATGTAAAATCAGCTGAAGAGCCTGCTTCATGCATTGCTTTATCTAAGAATGATTCTTACGTCATGTCTGCCTCTGGTGGGAAAGTTTCCCTCTTTAACATGATGACCTTCAAGGTATGCCTCTTACTGCCCTTTACTTTCATGTTTGTTTGCATTTGTAATGCTGCAGTTTGTGCTAGCTTGTTTTTTTGGTCGTCCAAACATGTTTAAATGCTCTTTTTAACTAAGTTCAAGGCATATTGTCTTGTCAGGTCATGACAACTTTCATGCCACCACCTCCTGCTGCCACCTATTTGGCATTTCACCCTCAGGACAATAACATTATTGCTGTGGGAATGGAAGACTCTACCATACAAATATACAATGTCAGGGTTGATGAGGTAAGCTTTTCGAAGAGGCATTCTTCATTTATACACCAACCATCACTGTGGTTTATTTCCCTATGTACAGAAAAAGTAATATATTTCAAAATCATGCTGTGAGTTTTAGATTTTTTAATTGCTGTTATTCTTTGGGAGATTTTTTTGTTAATTCCAGAGGTGGTTGTTGAACTTGATTAATTTTTTGCCTTTAGAGTTGGATTATGGTATCATTATCTTGTTCTCTCTTTCATCTTCCATAGGTTAAAACCAAGCTCAAGGGTCATCAAAAACGGATCACAGGGCTTGCATTTTCTCAGAGCTTGAATGTGCTGGTTTCTTCAGGGGCAGATGCACAAGTGAGCACCGATCTCAATTGCAGATATATAATCTAAAAAAACAAAAAAAGAAAGGATATTCTTGAAGTTGATTATCTTGGTGCCTGATTAACTTTTTTACTTGTTTTTCATAGTCCTAGGCAATAATGTCATGCTTCTCTTGTTCTATATGCAGCTATGTATCTGGCACATCGATGGATGGGAAAAGAAAAAATCAAGGCTCATACAGGCCCCACCTGGACACCCCACTTCAGTAGTTGGAGATACAAGAGTTCAATTCCATAATGATCAATCACACATCCTTGTAGTTCATGAAAGCCAAATTTCAATTTATGATACTCAACTTGAGTGTATGCGTTCGGTAAGTTTCTGTTTGGGTGGAATTCTGAAACTTCCAGAAAATGTAATAATAGTAGCAATAGTACTTCACATTAGTTCTTTTCACTTACATAGCTTATGTTGCAGTGGTATCCGAGGGAGTCACTTTCTGCGGCAATTTCAAGTGCGATATATTCATGTGATGGTATGTTAGTGCTAGCCGGATTCTCTGACGGTGCAATTGGAATATTTGATGCAGACACGTTCAGGCTTCGGTGTCGAATTGCATCATCTGCTTACATGTCTACATCTATTGGCAGGTATTGTTACTTTCTCTGATATGGGGTCATAATGGAATCTAATTTCCACTTTACCATCTTCCCTCTATCATTTACTTTCCATTGAAAGTAAGGGTATGTTTGCACCATGGCGTTAGAGTGTACTGCCTTAGGAAATTAAAGAGAGAATATTTGTTTGAAATCTTGGCTTGAACTAGCCAATAGATTATATTTGTTTTTAGTGTAGTTTGGCCTAATTAACATGTGGCCCACTTGAGTGACCTCAGAGAAACGCCTATAGAAAGGAAAACGAATGCTAATGAAAGTAACTGGACCGGAACCAACCTGAGAATCAGAACTGGACCAACCGAGTATAGCAGTTTATGTTTCTATTCCACTCTTTATGGGAACTGGAGTCGGGACAATTTTCATCAGACCTACCTAACACTATGAGATGAGACTTTCTGCAGCCGTAATGGCAAGAAAAAACCAGATCAATGTAAAATACCACTTTGATCCAAGTTCTGACATCGACCTTAATAATATCACAGCAGCAGCGGGTGTGCCTTTCCTGCAGTGATTGCGGCACACCCTTCAGATCCATACCAATTTGCTCTCGGGATGAGCGATGGCACAGTACACGTGATTGAGCCATCAGATGCTGAGCCGAAGTGGGGCAGTTCAACCTCTCAAGATAATGGATCTCTACCTTCCATTCCCTCAAGTTCTGCATTGAATAGTCAGCAGCCATGTGAGACTCCATCTAGGTGATATAGTAGCACTGTAGCGGTAGTTTATACAAGGTTTTTTTCCCTGCAACAACAGTGCTAAAAGTTGATGTAAAGTTACACTGAGGCCTAATTCTTTTTCTTCTTTGGACCATATTTAGGACATCTCTGTACATTTATTTATGCCCCAACTTACTTCCCCAGATTCACCTTAGTTGGTTCAAAATTTGCTTTATTCTTGCTTGTATTGATGTAGGATGACAAATCCTGCCTTGTTGCCCCTTTAACATCTATAATATGATTTTTTAATTATAATAATTGTGCAACATTATAGCTATCCTTCCTAGTACAACTAATGCAATGTAGTTTGTGTATTATGTCTGAATAATCAAGTTTTTTATTATGTCGGTGAGGACCCAACACTTGAGCTACTTCAAACTATTCTAAATATTAAAATAGAGTTGTATTTTGGAACTTGTGCATCTTTCTATTTATAATAATAAAGTATGACCTTATAACTGAAGTGTGTTTATTGATTAATTTCATGTATTGATTATCCTAAGTTTTTATCCATTGAAAATTATAAATAGTACAAGAGCTGAACACACAATATGGGAAATTCAAAGTAAAATTTTATATTTTTGTCAAATATGAAAACCTGTTTGTTAATTGGGTGAATTAGTGAATAGCTTGAATTTGTTTAAAGTTGTTGAAATTATGATCGAGGTGATGAGGTGATCGAAATATTGAATTGTCTATATTAGAAAATTCTATATCAAGTATATTTCATAAAAAAAAATTGTATAAAAAATACAGAGTTGATAAAACAGTTTTCAACAAATTCAAGAAACTCCTACATAGTCATGGACCCGGGCCGGTTCTGGGCCGGGCCTGGCTGGGCTTTTTTTTTGGGAAGGAAGGCCCGGGACTGGCCCGGGTAGCCACCGGATCCGGGCCTCCGGTTTGGTCTTTTTTTTTTGCTTTCCTACCCCCCCCCCCCCCCAAACCCCCCAAATCCCTCCTAACCATCAAGCCCAACCCAGGTAACCCCAAAAAATGAAAAAAAATGAAAAAAAATCAATTCGGCCCGGACCCGGGCTCGACCCGGCCGGGCCGGTTCGCCAAATACAAGGCCCGAGCCCGGACCCGCCCCCTACCGGGCCCAGGCCAAACCCCTCCTACATCTTTTTAAAGAATGTACATTTGATAAATACAAAAACTGGCTGATAATCAATAAACCGGTTTTTTTACTAAATGGCCTTTGAGTGTATAAATATGCACACGAGTACACGACATATATCTAAACATTTTTTTTTTTTGAATTTTGGTTAAAGATGTAAAAAACTCTATTTATATCTTTTTCTAATCTAACCATTGAACATAACTATTTCTCTTGATGTTCTTCAAAAAAAAAAAAAAACGATTTCTGTTGATGTATTGCAAAAGAGTGTTTGTGAGTGGAAAAATTCTCACGATTGAGCTAAAACCTAAAATGAGAATTCCGTCTTTCCCATAATCACCATATTTTTTTTCTTTTGGGATAGTAAAACATGTTTTACATATCTAATCTTGAACCCTAGGATTAGACATAAAATCAGTCACTTCATACAAAACAATCTAACTCGCTAAATCTGAAACGAGCAAACATAAGCCTAAAACGAACAGATCTGAAACCCTGCCTATCAAAGAACTCTGAAAATCCAAAACATTCAAACCAAATCTAATTGGACTAAAACTAAAACTAGTACTACTGAAGAGAAAATAATATTGAAATAAAATCTTTCCACAAAACTCTTCCTGGTATGAAGGTGGTTCTAGAGGAGGACGAGCTCTTGCAGTATGGATGAATACAAACTCAACCATCGTCGGAGCGGCCGACCAAGGCTTCACGATCCATCACTGACACAAAATTCCAACCGCAATCCGTTCATCGGCCAACATTATCTCCTCTGACATAGTTACAATCCCAAGCGTTAAAACACTTAAAATCGGAATAATCAACCGCTCCATCCACATATTGATAGAGGCGACGGAAAATCTCAACTCCTACAAAGTAATCATGGACCCGGGCCGGGCCCGGCCGGGCTTTTTTTTGGGAAGGAAGGCCCGGGACCGGCCCGGGTAGCCACCGGGTCCGGTCCGGGTCCGGGCCGGGCCTCCGGTTCGGTCATAATTTTTTTTTTTTTTTTTTTTTTTTTTTTTTTTGCATTCCTAACCCCCCCCCCCCACTCACCCCCCCCCCCCAAACCCCCAAACCCCTCCTAACCATCAAGCCCAACCCGGCTAAACCCAAAAAATGAAAAAATAAAAAATAAAAAATCAATTCGGCCCGGGCCCGACCCGGCCGGTTCGCCAAATACAAGGCCCGAGCCCGGACCCCCCACCGGGCCTAGGCCCGACCCGGACCCGGACCCGAGAACCGGGCCGGTTCCGGGCCCGCACAGTGGCGGGCCGGGCCGGTCCCGGGCCGGGCGGCCCGAACCGGGTCCATGCCTACTACAAAGAAAGGAGACGACCGCTAGATTTTTAGAGAGAAGCCAAAGCGCTCCTCTCTCTAGGTTTTTGCCAGAGTCGATTTTCTCATAATCACATCTTGAAAACACATATCAAACCAACATTTTTTAATAAGATGCTCAATGTCAAATACATTATAAAAGTTAGGGAAAACTATCAAATAAGCCCCCTAACTTTTCAAAAAAATCAATTAGACCCCTTTACTAAAACTTCACTCAATTAAACCCTCAAACCCAATAAAATATGGCAAAACCTCTTTTTAACCGGTAACTAATAAGTTACCCGGTTATTATGTACAAGTGGCTACACATCTCGTTTTTTCAATTTTTCCATTTTTATTTCTTTTTTCCTTTATTTTTCTTTCCTTTTTTCCTTTCCCTTCATCTTCTTTCTCGTTCAACTCGTTCCAGGCTTCTAAAAAATTTCAGCCTTCAATCCCTTCCTCCATCTTCTTCTAATCTTCCACCCACCCTTTCTTCCCACCCTTTCTTCTTTCTTCTGCCACCAGTAGGTCGTCGTCGGCAACGCAGTGTCCGAGCGAAACTTAGGACGCCGGAGATGCTCAAGTTCCCATTACGCACCGGTCCGGTCATCCCCTTTCCGCGAGTCCATGCCTTGGGAGTCGGAAAACGTTCTCCTTTAAAGCTTCGTTAAGGGAATACAAGTCGGAGTCGGAGTCGGTGCTCCGTGAGAGCTCCGGCCAGATTGATTCCAGATCCGGCTGCAGAAAAGAGGGGCAGGGAGGAGGACGAAGTGAGTCGTGGAAGTGCGAGCAGAGAACTAGTAGGGGGAAGCAGAGAGTGGGGAAGGAAAGAAGGAAAGAAATAAAGAAAGAGGGGAGAAGTTGCAGGTGCTAGCGCAGGGAATAAGGGGAAGAAGGGGAGAAGGAAAGAAAGCCTAGGGAAGAGGAAAGAAAAAGAAAAAACTGACACGTCACACCCCATACTCAATTTTACCGGGAATACCTGCTAAAAAGAGATTTTGCAAATTTTTAATGAGTTTGAGGGCCTGATTGAGCTGACTTTTAGTTGGAGGGCTTAATTGATTTTTTTGAAAAGGTCGGGGGCTTATTTGATAGTTTTCCCTAAAAGTTAAGAGTAGCATTCGAACATTTGAAAAGTTTGAGCGTTAGACCTAAGACCTTAAGTCCTTAACCCTTATATTCTCACTAATCTTTAAGATGTTAAATTGTGATGTTTATCCGTAAATTGAGTTCTAATGTTTGTTTAAAGTTTCGTTATTTGTTGTAATGCTACTATTTGCTGCTTTAAAATTTTATTGTCTGTAGCATGACTGTATGAGTATGTGTATGACGATAAATACTTCGTATTATATAATTGGCTAACTTTTTGGACGATTGCAATGTTTTCTTTTTCATTTCTTATTGAAAGTTACCATTTCTTATTTGTGCCGCCGCTACCGCCGGAGTTTGCCGCCACCAATGTATAAGATGTTCACAAAAATTCATCAAAAAATTCCACCGGGAACCGCCCAAAATGGCGACGGCCGGACAGAGCCTCCTATATAAGGACTTATTTGACTTTTTTATGAAAGATCGAGGACCTATTTGACACTTTTCCCAATTAAAAAAAGGTGAAATTCATAAAAATAATCATTACTTATAGGGATTCTACAATAATAATCCCTACTCACGTTGTCTATAAAAATAATTCGAACTAGCAAAGGTGTTTATATAATAAATTGGGGTGACTTCAAAATAATCCTTACTCTGACTTTTATCCCCCCCCCCCCCCCCCCGACTCTTCCTTTTGGGACAGATTCAAAGTGAAACCCATTTAATATCAATTAGTAGGGATTGAGAGTATTAAATAGGCATTTTTTTGAATCAATTCTAATTTATTTTTATGGACACTATTGGTAGTACGAATTATTTGTAAAGACACTCTCAATTAGGATTATAAATGTAGAATGCATGAAAGTAAAGATTATTCTTGTGAATTTCGTGTTAAAAGAATTCTTATAGACATACTTAAATAATTTATTTAAAACTTTCTAACCCTAAAACTATTTGTATATATGCCTTCAATTTCAATTCTCCGTTTAAAACGAGAATATTATGATTTCATTTCCTAGATGTGACACTTATTTCAGAATGATCATAACATACTCCCTCCGGTTCTTTTTAAACTTCAGTGTTTGACTTCACAGTTATTAAGGAAATAAAGTTGACTTTACTGTAGAGTACACTGTTGAGACACTGTTTGACATTGTTTGGCACTGTTGAGACACTGTTTGGCACTGTTTAGCACTGTTTAACACTGTTTTGATGTAGATATCTTTGCCAAATAAGGAAATAAGGAAGTGTGAAGTTTATTTTGGACCGTCCCAAAAAGGAAAGTGTGATGATTATTTAGAACCGGAGGGAGTATTAGATTTAGATCAGGGCCGTTTTTTAGGGGGTTCAATAGGTTATTCAGAACAGGGCCCCCAGATTTAAGAGCCCCATATTTTTAAAAATTTATTAGTATTATATAGTAATACTATATATTAATACTAATCAATAAAATACACTTAAAAAATTTTTCGTTGTTCCTTTTACTCTTTTAGTTCTTTTTTAATGAGTATTCCATTGATTTGAGTATAACTATTTGGATTGAGATTTTTTTAAATTCTTTTATATTAATATGAGGCCCCGATTTTAGATTTTGAACCAGGGCCTCCAAATTCATTAGACGGCCCTGATTTAGATAATAAAAATATAATGACTATTTTGAAAATTTTAAATATTTTTACTCTGTGTATCTAAAATTTTCCTTTTTTAAATATATCCATCTATGATAAATATCTTTGTATCATGTTATTCATGACTTGTAAATTGTAATAATGCTAAACAAATGTCAATTATGGAGTATAAGTAACAAACTTGGGGGACACGTGAAATTCCGAACACGAACGGGATTGAGTTACAAAACCAGAATTAAGAATAAACACCGATAACGACAAAACATGAAAGACAAAAAACAGTTCATTTCGTACATTAAAAAAAACAGGAAACAGAGCAGCGCCATTTCCCTCCCCCACTCGTCTCCGCAACACTACAAATAAACCCTCCCTGAAGAAACCCAATGAATATATTTGGGGGCTTTCTGTATCTGATAAAAACCCACAAAATCTAATGGGTGCAGCAGTTGAAGAAGAAGAAGTGAAAGTGGGAAGCATAGTGTGGGTGCGCCGGAGGAACGGAATTTGGTGGCCGGGAAGAGTTATGGCTCCCGCCGACTTCACCCCTGTTCCACCTCAAATCAAGCTCCTCGGCCAAAACAGCGCCACTCTGTAAGCCATTTCCCCCAAATTTTGCTCTGAGCTTTTTTTTGCTTGGATTGGCCTTTGAGGTTGTTTTGTTGCTTTGATATGTTGGAAACTAATGTTTGTTGATAAGAATCTCTGTATTTTTTGGGATTTTCTGGTTATGTTCTACAGGTTTATGTTTTGCCTTTACCGTCATTTCAGTTTTCCTCAACTTTCTTTTTTAAAATTTTGGTCTGAACTTTTTTGCTTGGATTGGCCTTTGAGGTTGTGTAACTGTGTTGTTGCTTTGATATGTCGGAATCTAATGTTTGTTGATAAGAATCTCTGTATTTTTTGTGATTTTCTAGTTAAGTTCTACAATTGTTTGTTTTGTTGCTTTAATACGTCGAAATCTAATGTTTCTTGATAAGAATCTCTGTATGTTTTTGTGCTTTTCTAGTTAAGTTCTACAGCCGTATGTCTTGTTGCTTGGATATGACGGAATATAATGTTTGTTGATAAGAATCTCTGTATTTTTTGTGATTTTCTAGTTAAGTTCTACAATTGTATGTTTTGTTGCTTTAATACGTCGAAATCTAATGTTTCTTGATAAGAATCTCTGTATGTTTTTGTGCTTTTCTAGTTAAGTTCTACAGCCGTATGTCTTGTTGCTTGGATATGACGGAATATAATGTTTGTTGATAAGAATCTCTGTATTTTTTGTGATTTTCTAGTTAAGTTCTACAATTGTATGTTTTGTTGCTTTAATACGTCGAAATCTAATGTTTCTTGATAAGAATCTCTGTATGTTTTTGTGCTTTTCTAGTTAAGTTCTACAGCCGTATGTCTTGTTGCTTGGATATGACGGAATATAATGTTTGTTGATAAGAATCTCTGTATTTTTTGTGATTTTCTAGTTAAGTTCTACAATTGTATGTTTTGTTGCTTTAATACGTCGAAATCTAATGTTTCTTGATAAGAATCTCTGTATGTTTTTGTGCTTTTCTAGTTAAGTTCTACAGCCGTATGTCTTGTTGCTTGGATATGACGGAATATAATGTTTGTTGATAAGAATCTCTGTATTTTTTGTGATTTTCTAGTTAAGTTCTACAATTGTATGTTTTGTTGCTTTAATACGTCGAAATCTAATGTTTCTTGATAAGAATCTCTGTATGTTTTTGTGCTTTTCTAGTTAAGTTCTACAGCCGTATGTCTTGTTGCTTGGATATGACGGAATATAATGTTTGTTGATAAGAATCTCTGTATTTTTTGTGATTTTCTAGTTAAGTTCTACAATTGTATGTTTTGTTGCTTTAATACGTCGAAATCTAATGTTTCTTGATAAGAATTTCTGTATGTTTTTGTGCTTTTCTAGTTAAGTTCTACAGCCGTATGTCTTGTTGCTTGGATATGACGGAATATAATGTTTGTTGATAAGAATCTCTGTATTTTTTGTGATTTTCTAGTTAAGTTCTACAGCTGTATGTTTTTTTATGAAAGGACAGCTGTATGGTTTGTTGCTTTGATATGACGGAATCTAATGTTTATTGATAAGAATCTCTGTATTTTTTGTGATTTTTTTTTTGTGATTTTCTAGTTAAGTTCTACAGTTTTATGGTCTGTTGCTTTGATATGTCGGAATCTAATGTTTGTTGATAAGAATCTCTGTCCAGTTTTCCTCAACTATGTTTTCTAAAATTTTGTCATCTTGACATCTTCTTAAATGCATAATACCTCGTACTGTAATATTCATTGAAACCATGATGTGTTTGTGAACGGGCAATGTTTCAGGGACAACTACAATCTGGAGAGTACTAAGCGTGTGAAAGCCTTCCGCTGTGGAGAGTTTGACGATTGTATTAGAAAGATTGAATCATCAAGAGATTTTGGTTTAACCAAAGATCTGAAGTGCACACGACGAAAAAATGCTATTCTTCATGCTCTTGATCTTGAAAGGCAGTTGGTGCAACAGAAACTTAAAAGGGCAGGTAGTATAATACTATAATGTATGATTCATTGAAGATATAGAATCACATATAGTTCTATTTACATTTTTAAAAATTTCTATTGTTTACATCAATATTTAATTTGAGATGCAATTGTTGTATGGGAGCTAAGTATCATTTAGGACATTGTTCACTTGGACTTGTTCAAGTCCAAAACCTGACCTTACCATACTAGACAAAATTTAAATGTAGACTAGTACTATACCACATCAGTTCATATTAGTCAGATTAGATCAAACCGTACGAGAAGATTTCAGTCCAAATGAACAATTACTTCAGGCAAGCATGCCTATTTTTTGCACAAATCCATAAGTTCAATAGTTAAGTTCATGATTATAACATGCTTGTAACGTTGATATAGATTTTATGAAGTTGAAAAATGTTTACCAGTGATCACAATGAAAATGTCTGTTACTAATGGTTCGTTTTAAATATTATCTATTTCTTTGCCCTGTGATTAACAGGGAGTGAGATGCAACAAGAAACTTGTCAGAGGGTAAAGAGAAGCAAGTGTGCCTACTTTTCTTCTGAATCAGGAGGTTTTTTGAAGCAATCAGTTCAGTCTTGCTCCTTAAAGGACTCAAAAAACTCCTCTGAGTCCTTTGTTGGTGATAAGACTGCCTCTTCTGTCAGATCTGAAAAACTCAAACCTAAAAGAAAACTGAATATCCAAGAGGTTTGCATGGGAGATATGGGTCCAGATGATGATAGAAGTTGCGTTTTTTACTCCAAAGGAGATGCCGCTATTCCTCTATTTGATGTGAACATCAAAGTTGAAGCAAGCCACCAGGGAGTGGATGTTCCTCTCGTCAGCATGATGAGCAGATTAAATGGAAAGGCGATCATAGGACACCCTGTGAATATAGAAGTTCTGGAAGGCACTGCTGAAGCTGAAGTTAGAAATGGTGAGAAATTGTCCCAAAAGAATTTAAGTACAACATGCCCCCTGGTTTGGAAAACTTCTAAAAGGACTCCTGTTATATATTCAACTCCACTGCCTTCCTCGGGTAGGAAAGGCGCATCTTCAGGAACAGAAGAACCCTTTCCTCTAAAATCATGCCAAGGGCAAACGAGTTCATCAAACTGGTCAAGAAACTCCTTTAGTGGTGATAACTTGCGCCCCACAGTGCAGAAGGCCATGAAAGGAGAAGCTTTACTGAAATCTGTTAGTTGTGTTCCAGTGAAACACATTTTCAGTAAGTTACTAGCAGCTGTTGCCTGTTAGTAAGGAGAGACCAGCACAACAATGCAACTGCGATGAGAACGACAGTGTGCTTTAAAGATGGGATTGAACTAGACAAGCTTATTCAAAAGAAATCAGCTCTTTTTTTGGTGATATTACTTACAACTGGTTAAGGGTTTTGTTGATTTACTAAGCAGGTAGATAGATGAGTATATACTTACTGAGTTACTGGTTAGGACTTAAGATCATTGAATCATAGATGGTATTGATGAGTCATGTGTAGTGGTTTTTTATTTACATGCAGATATTAAACTTGTTTAACTTCATCAGAATGGAGGCGCTTTAAGTATTTACGATGAGGGTGATAAAATTTATTAATGGTAACCATTTTAAATCAACTTTGGATTCTAAAATGCAATTCTACTTTTTCGATCAAATTATGTCCAAGTTTTTTTTAACAAAATTATGTCCAAGTTATGCACCTTTTCAGTAACATTTGATTGTGTTGTGCCCATTACTGTTTCAAGGGTCGGCGACATTAAAAGTGAAAATTCTACAAGTATATGAAAGGATGATGATAGGGCTAGAGTAATTTAATGAAAATTGTTCTGAGCTGTAAAATTTTCCTGAACTTGAAATTCGGCACATGGTTGTTGAACTTCAAAATGTTGATTAATTTACATTTTGCACCATAATGTTGTTTTGTATTCAAGTCATGTAAAGCTTTACAAGTGGGCGCACATAGGGACGGAACCAGGACACTTGACTGGATAGAATCGGTAGAATTTTTTTGAGAAAAAAATTAGGTGGATTTTTTTAGGTAAGCTAGAGCCTAGACTTATTCTCCCTTGGCTAGTTGGCTCAGGTGCACTATTTAAAGACATTCGTCATATGGTTTTAATAAATAGACTTGGATATGCCAACATCTATGTTTAGAAAATCAATCCGGATCTTTATGCCTCTAGAGTTTTGAAAGGTATAAAAATGTCACTAAAGTTCATATTTAGGAGTAAATTTACCCTTATTTATTTTAAACAAATAAATTAAAAAAATAAAATATCAAAAATAAATCAATGAATCCATTTTGTGTTCAATGCTTCCTTTTAATATTTTTATATGAATTTCATATTTTTTTAATATAAAAGATACGGAGTATATTTTAAAAATGTGTTTGAGAAATGAAAATATTAAAACAAATATTTAGTAATCAATGCTTCTTTTTATCTTATTAACATTAAATTTTGATATAAAAGTAACAAAGAAGCATTGAACACAAAATGAACTTTGAATTTTTTTTTACATATTTGTTTTTCATTCCCAAACCCAATATATTCAATAATGTATTTCATTTTTTATTTATTTTAAATCAATAAGGGTAAATTTACTCCTAAATACGAAGTATATACTTTAACATACTTTTGCAACTTTCTAAACCTTAGGGACATCTACACCTGGAAATAAATACAAAGGGTACATTCATACCTTTCTCTGACTTTCATTTCTAGAAATTTTTATTCATTAGACAGTTGTTGCCCAAATTCAAATTTGAGAAGCGCCGTACAATAACACTTGTAGGAAAGTAGGATAATCATCATGAGTTAATATAAATCAAATATTGGTACTATCAAATATCAATATAAATGAGTTGTATAACATCTATTCATCCACAACAAAGTAGCCCAGCTCCGGTTCTGGAGGTAAAAGTCCGGGCCCATTGCCCATATTTCAGTTCTGAACAGAAACTAATACCCAGAACCAGTCCAACTTGGTTCTAGCTCCTCTAAGTAGGACTAAACTGGACTAGCCCCCCCCCCCCCCCCCCCCCCCCCCCCCCCCCCCCCCCGAAAACAGGCTAAAGTCCCGAAATCGGTCCAAAACTAGGTAAAGCCAGGTGTAGTCATGGGTATCAACTACATTTATGCATGCAGAACTGGCCAGTCTGGAACTAAACTAGAACCGGATTGAGACCAAGGTAACCATATGTTATTAGGTAGGCTAGACAGTACTTGAGCACCCAGCTAACACCTAACAAATTTAGAACAAAGGCAGGAAACATACCCATAAAAAACTATAACTAATTTGTGAACCGATATGTTAACCCAAGAATGGGACACCCATCACTTCTTAACCAAACTTTTCAACTTCCCTACTTACATTGACTCCTTATAACACCACAGATGCATACGACCCCCCACACCACACCACCGCCCTCGCCGCAAAGAACCTCAACTATATCAAGATAATTACGGGTATACCACATTGGTTTGGTTCGATATCGCAATGATAGACGTTTTGAGATTGCTCATTATATACAACGTCATCACTATGTGTCTGAGCTTCATGGCATTGGACATTGTGTGATAGCTTCTTAAAGCGGCAATGGACCACCTTTGAAATGATGAGCTTGAGAGTGGGGATGTAGGTGCTCATCAAATGGACTCCGGATAAATTTTTCGTTAACCTCGGCCAAATCAACTTCCGTGAATGAGTGAAAAATTGGATGCAGATATGCATCAGCCAGCTGTGCTTTAAATTCAGTATCAGATTCAGACACATGATCTTGTGCATCCCTATCAATTGCTTCCTGTAATGACAGAGAAGAACAATTTCACACATATACCAATACATTATATTTATACTTATACATTTTTGTGTGTTAGTGATATACATGTATATTTGCAGAGTTTGTTCCATATTGTCTCAATAACACACAAACATATACGATTTTGAATTCTAGTATGCTGACTTTTTATGATGGAACTTAAAGTCTTAACGATTGATAGGTAACGGAAGAATCCAAGTAGATAATAATAGGATATTAATTAAATTTAAGTGATGGAATACAGAAAGTTATGAAAGAAAAGGGTTTGAGACTCTTCGAGTGGTCTCTCACTCCCAGTTCTGATCCCAGATCCCAAGTTCTCCTCCCACCATTTTTCCTCTCATATGGCTTCTCTTCACTTCCACCAGTTCTTTCAAGGCAAGAAATAATAGCAATCTGTATTTCCTGAACTGCCTCATACTTTCCATTCACCGCAGATGAAACTGGATGCAAACTTTTATTCAAATTTGGCCAACTAACTGCACTTGAGGTATCCTTTGCACAAAAAATGTATATGTTAAAAGCATTCTCTTTCCCTTGTCTACGAACTCTATCTTCAGAATGATTAGACTTAAAATCAGAGTTATTGGCAGTTCCAGTCGACTGGATATACAAAACGCGAGACTCCAAATTGTCAGGTTCCACTTTACCTGAAATAATTTCCTCGGCTTTCCCCTCTCTCAATTTTAAAAGCTCCTGATTATCAGGTGGGAGCATATCATCTTCCAGATTTAGCTCCTGGACTGACGGTGCAGCGGTCTTCAACCCCTTGTTTAATTTTGAAGGCGGAATTCCCGGCAATCCCTTTTCGGAGTCAACCTGGTCCAGGCTTAGGTGAGAATTGATTTGCGACAACAACTGCGAGGAGGTTGAGGCCGTTCGCGAAGAGGAACTGTGAGCATCGATGAGTGAAGAAGCCTGCAAACGGGGTTCTTTTGCTTGCGATGAAGTTGGCAACGATGATGAGACATGGTTCTCAGACTTCCGACGATGTCTAGGGTTCCTCGATCGTCCCCTTCTCCTGCTGCGACTGCCCTTAGCTTCGAGACTTTGCATCTTCTCCAGCAACAATTGCACTTTCTCGTCAAGCAAGGCTCGCATCTCTGTTCGCATCTCTTCCTTTGATCGTTCGAATGATCGCTCCAAACTGTCCATCCGTTGCTCCATGTTCAATCGAGTGAGTACCATACACAGGTGCAATGATCGATGCTCTGATACCAATGATACGACACAGAGAATTGGTGTGGAAAATATTATTGAAATCGTAGAAAATAAGAAGAATACAGCCGAGACCAATTCGAGAGGGCCTCGATCTCTCCCAGATCCCAGTTTTCCCAAATCCCAGCCTCCTTTTCCTGACTCATCTGTTTGCCTTTTATTTCCTTTCTCCAGCCTGTCCAGCTTCCACATTTATTTAGACCACCCTTTTATTTCCTTTCTCCAGCTCAACCTGTTCAGCTTCCACATTTATTTAGGCCATTCCCCCCAAGCTTGATTCCCCCTATTATTAATAAAACCCTCCTAAAAGGGCCGGCCCTTAATTAAGTTATTGGGCCTAGAACCCTATTATTAAACAACATTAAAATACTAAATGGATTCTTATTATTTGTAGTGCCCAGGTCCCTATCATCACTCCCCCCTTTGACATCCACCTTGTCCTCAAGGTGGGGAGTAAGATACAGTCATGCCATTCAGCTTCATCCTCGCGCCTCTTCCTTCCCAGTACTTCAGCTTGGATAGTTTTCTTCTTTTTGGCAACCTCTCGTTATCTATGTCAACACAGTGATCCTTTTTGCCAAGGTTTTTATCTCTTTCAATGCCCCATGTCTGATCTCTTACATAACCCAAAATTGAGAATACAAAGTCAGCTTCATCATCACCAAGTGTTCTTCCTGTGTGATGCATCACGGCTGCCTTGGAACTTTCATTGTAACAAAGTTGCATAGCAGACTTCCAGGCGGCTAGAGTGTGTACAGGATCAACCAGGATACCTCTCTCTCGGGTAATTATTGAATATATCTTCATTTCACCTCTCAAAACATTGTCAACTTTTCTTGGATCAAGACATTTTACCCATTGAACGATGGCATCCTGACCTTTCCTCAAGAACTGGCCAGGATTAGAAAAATTAGAAGTCAAACTAATTTCAAATAATAAACTTTCATCCTCTCTTCTATACCCCTCAAAAGTGTCTGCTAGCATGTCTGTAGTTACTTGCCACGGAAGTCCTAGGAAAACAACTCCAAGTCCTAAGCCAATGGCAGTAGTTCCTGTGCCAGCGTCTACAATAACTCTTAGCAACTGATGTCTTCCAAATGCATGTTCCTGAAACAAGCAGTCCACAAGGCGCATAGCACCTAATAATCCTGGACTAATTTCCTTGTCTTCCACCTCTTGCAGTCTCAAATACTCCTGCTGATCAGGTAGAGTTCCGGTAGGTGGGGTCGTATCGTCTTCGGGATCCAGCTCATGGACTGATGGTACATCTGTCTTCAACTCCTTGTTCAATGTTGTAGGAGGAATTCCCTGCAATCCATTTTCGGAATTAACGTGGTCCAGGGTTCTGCGAGGAGTGATTTGTGACAACAACTGTGAACTGGCCGAAGCCGCTTGCGAAGAAGAACTGCGAGTATCGGTGAGTGAGGAAGCCTGCGGGCAGGGACCTTCTGCTGGAGACGAAGTTTGCGACGATGATGAGACATGGTTCTCAGACTTCCAACGGCATCTAGGGTTCCTCGATCGTCCCCTTCTCCTGCTGCGACTGCCCTTAGCTTCGAGACTTTGCATCTTCTCCAGCAACAACTGCACTTTCTCGTCAAGCAAGGCTCG